ACAGAGAGGAAGGGAGAGGGATAGAGAGTCAGAAACACCGACGAGAGAGAAACATTTATCAGCCGCCTCCTGCACACCCCCCACTGGGGATGTGCCCGCAACCAAGGCACACCCCCCTGTCCGGAATCGAACCCGGGACTCTTCAGTCCGCAGGCCGACGCTCTAGCCACTGAGCCAAACCAGTTACGGCTTTAAAATATATTTTTATTAATTTCAGAGAGGAAGGGAGAGGGAGAGATAGAAACATCGATGATGAGAATCATCATTCGGCTGCCTCCTGCGTGCCCCCTATTGGGGATGGAGCCCACACCCCCCCACTGGCACTCGAACTGCGACCTCCTGGTTCATAGTCCCACGCTCAACCCCTGGGCCACCCGTGCTGGGCGTGAGATTTCTGTCTGAAGAAATTCGCGGGGCAGGCTGGGGCCTGTAGGGCTGAAAGGTGTGCTGGGAAGTGTGGCGGCTGTGGTCCCGTTGTAAGGCATGCTGGGAAATGTAGTTTCTTTTAAGCCTAACGTGGTCTAGGACGTTCATGCCTGATACCTGTACTTTGGCTTAACACTCCGGGCTGGGAGGACGCAGAGACAAAATAAGGCGTTCCTGTAGCCTTGAGGTGCTCCCAGGCTGGCACATGTCCAGTTTTAAATAGTGAGTACCCATCAGCAGAGCATGGAAGCAGAGGCGAATGTCCTCAGCCCGTTTCCCCAGTTTTCATTGAGTGGAACTCTGGCGGGTGGGGAGCTCCCTCAACGAGCCCTCCTTTTCCTCCTCGGTGGCAGATACCTCACCACCAAGGAGCAGTTCCATGAATTCCTGGAAGCTGGAGGGCGGGAGAAGCCCAGCCAGGAAACCGCGGGAGGAAACCATCATGACTGTGACCTGTCTGAGCCTGAGGCCAAGCGGATCCGACTGGAGGATGGACAGCCAGGAGAGGGCGCCACGGAGGAGGCAGCTGAGCGCCTTGAGCAGCCTCAGACTCCGAAGAGAGCTCGGGGTCAGAACAAGGCCCGGCCTCACATAAAACCCTCCCACTATGACAAGAACAGGCTCTGTCCCTCCATTGTGCAGGTTAGTGTCATTGTCACTATCAAGTCCCGGAAGCCTTCAGTTGGAGCCTCTCTGCCCCCCATTCAGGCCTCATGATGTTGTAATGTAAAAAGCATTATTGTTCCCATTTCCCAGATAAAGAAACTGAGGCACAGTGAGGTTACTGACTATCCCAATGACACACAGCCAGGAGGGGAAGGATCTTTGATTCAAAGCTTGGCTACCCTAGCCCCTCCCTGTCCGCTTTCACTGCCTCCCTCTTTCCTGCAGGAATCAGCTGCAAAGTGTTTTTTTGGTGATCGCTGTCGTTTCCTACACGATGTGAGTTGCTACCTGGAGACCAAGCCAGCTGACCTGGGCCCCCGCTGTGTACTGTTCGAGAACTATGGCAGGTGCCCCTATGGTGTGACCTGCCGCTTTGCTGGGGCCCATCTGGGGCCTGAGGGCCAGAATCTGGTGCGGGAGGAGGTGGTCCCAGCCCCTCCCGTCCGCAACGGCTTGGACAAAGCTCTGCAGCAGCAGCTGAGAAAGCGCAAGATCCATTTCGAGCGTGCCGAGCAGGCCCTGCAGCAGCTTGGCAAGGGCCACCTACCAAGCCCCACCCCTTCTGCCACTGTCCCTGAGGTCCCAGGGGCTGAGAGTGCCCCAGGGCAGGACAACTGTGATACCCAGCAGGCCCCCCTGGCGCCCTGCACTGGTACCCCTCCCAGCAGCCCCATGCAGACCTGCGGGCCCCTGACGGATGAGGACATAGTCAGGCTTCGGTCTTGTGAGAAGAGGCAGGTATGTGTCACAGGCTTCCTGTTGAGGACACTAGCAGTGGGGAGCAGAAAGAGCTGGACACACCTCCCAGCCCCGGAGAGTCAGGGCTGAAGCAGAGGGAGGCAGTGGGGAAGGCTTCATGGAAGAGGGGGCATTGGGACGGGTTTTGATAGTTGACTAGAAATTATCCAGAAGAGAGTATGGAGAAAAGACCATTTCTCATTGGTGGATTGGTTGACATATGCAGAGATTAAGAGGAAAAAGGGTGCTAGGCCAGTGGGGCAAAGCTAAGCATGTTCTAGATTGTGGGGAGGAGGGAGGCCTCAAATCCAGATTGGAGGGTGGAGCCTCTGCGTGTTTTCTTTCCTTCCAGCTCGACATCAGTGGCAAACTGTACCTGGCCCCCCTCACCACGGTAGGACCCACGTGGGTGGGCTGGGTGGTGGCAGTGTGGTCACTCCAGCAGTGCCCAGTGCGTGCCAGCCTTGGGTATTCCTGTTGAGGACACTAGCAGTGGAGTGGGGGCAGGAGTTGGGGTCCCTGCTTGTCACACCCTTACCTGTTTGTGTCCCCCACTGCCACCAGTGTGGGAACCTGCCTTTCCGGCGAATCTGTAAGCGCTACGGGGCTGACGTGACGTGTGGGGAGATGGCTGTTTGCACCAACCTGCTGCAAGGCCAGACGTCCGAGTGGGCCCTGCTCAAACGCCACCCGTGCGAGGACATCTTTGGTGTCCAGGTTGGTGCTGCCACAAGGGAGGGAGAACGAGAGGGAGAAGGGGCTTTCAACTGCCAAGATCTGGAGCAAGGAGTCACTTCCCAGATCCTCTCGCCTCGGCTGTGGGCCGGGGGCACCAGCCTGATGCATCTCCAAGGGCTAATGCCTGGGGATGGGGCCGGGGTGGAGCCAGGCAGGGATGGTCTGAACTGGCCCTGGCCCCTCACCTCCTTTGCTCCAACACCTGCCGCAGCTGGAGGGTGCTTTCCCGGACACTATGACCAAGTGCGCAGAGCTGCTGAACCGCACCATCGAGGTGGATTTCGTGGACATCAACGTTGGCTGCCCCATCGACCTTGTGTACAAGAAGGTAGCGACCATTCAGCCCTGGATCCCCAGAGTGAGCAGATTGTAGATAGGGTGGGGGTCAGGGAGCCGGCCTCACTCCTGCCTGAGTCTCTGGGAACCTACAGGAGTCCCTGTGCCTCAGTTTCCCTTTTCACAGCAAGGACAGTGAGGGGTGTTGGGCCCGACTTGGGTCTTGCCCTCCGTTGCTCCAGCCGCCTGTCTCTCCCAGGGTGGGGGCTGCGCCCTCATGAACCGCTCGGCCAAGTTTCAGCAGATTGTGCGTGGCATGGACCAGGTATGCCGAGATGTCCCCACCTTCCCCCACCCGGCTCTGCGCCCTGCTGACCGCACTCATCCCCGCAGGTGCTGGATGTGCCGCTGACAGTGAAGATCCGCACGGGCGTCCAGGAGCGTGTGAACCTGGCGCACAGGCTGCTGCCCAAGCTGCGGGAATGGGGGGCAGCCCTGGTCACGGTGGGTCTCGGGGTGCAGCGGGTATCAGGCCTCGGGGCACTCCAACTACCGCTTCTAATGGTCTCTCTCTTCCCCACCTCCCTCTTCATCTCGGATCTCCCTCCATGTCTCTGTCTGTCTGTCTGTCTCTGTCTCAGCCTGGGTTTCTCTCTCTCTCTCTCTCTCTCTCTCTCTCTGATGTCCTGCCTCCCCTCCCTCCCTCCCTCCCTCCCCGTGTGGCCACTCTTTCTCTAGCTGCATGGCCGCTCTCGGGAGCAGCGCTACACCAAGCTGGCTGACTGGCAGTACATCAAGCAGTGCGTGGCGGCGGCCAGCCCCATGCCCCTGTTCGGTGGGTCCCCAACTCTCACCTGAGACCCCTCCCTGCCCCAGTGGGGGCTGCTGGGCTGGCAAGAACTCCCCCGGAGCTGGCTTTCCTGCCTGTAGGCAGCTCCCTGAGGCCCTATCTCTGCCCCTCAGGAAACGGAGACATCTTATCCTATGAGGACGCTAACTGCGCCATGCAGACCGGTGTCACTGGAATCATGATTGCCCGGTAGGTGGGCCCGGGGCCTGGGGGTTACCTGGAGCTGCCCCTGGGCCCAGCCTGCAGCTCTGGGAGGGTGAGTGTGTGTCTGAGCTTTGTCCCATTTGTCACAGTGCCTCAGCCCAACGGCTTGGCCTCCTGGTCCATTTATCCCCAGCGGATGGCTGTGCAGAGAGATGGCAGGGCTGCAGCTGGCCGGGGCCGGAGGGACTAGAAATTTCTGCAGCTGTTGGCTTGGGGTGCGGGTTGGGACTCTTGGGCTTCAAGGCTTCTAGAACAGCTGGAGAGTCTGTCTGCAGAGCTGGAGGGACAGGGACTGTGGGTTTGGGGCCTCTGACCACCCCCTGCCCTGCAGTGGTGCCCTGCTCAAGCCGTGGCTGTTCACGGAGATCAAGGAGCAGCGGCACTGGGACATCTCCTCATCCGAGCGCCTGGACATCTTGCGGGACTTCACGAACTACGGCCTGGAACACTGGGGCTCGGACACGCAGGGCGTGGAGAAGACCCGCCGCTTCCTGCTTGAATGGCTCTCCTTCCTGTGCAGGTGGGTGTGGAGCCGCTGCGGGGCGGGTTAGGTGAGGCCAGCCTGGCCCACCCTGTCCCCACCTGCCTGCAGGTATGTGCCTGTGGGTCTGCTGGAGCGGCTCCCACAGAGGATCAACGAGCGGCCCCCCTACTACCTGGGCCGAGACTACCTGGAGACGCTCATGGCCAGCCAGAGGGCCGCCGACTGGATCCGCATTAGGTGCCTGGGACCGAGGAGCTGGGGGAGGGGGTGCACGTCCTGGGTCGGGGGTGTGGCCCAGGCCTGACCCTGCCCTCCGCCTGCCCTCACAGTGAGATGCTGCTGGGACCTGTGCCACCCAATTTCGTCTTCGTGCCAAAACACAAGGCCAATGCATACAAGTAGCTGCAGGGGTGGGAGGGCATCGGAGGCGTCGTGGCGAGTGAGAAGACAATAAACTTCGTTCTTTTAAAACTCGGGCCTTTCTGTGACCCCGAGGCTGCCCCTTCCCACCCCCGGGAGCTCTCCCTGGACACCTGCCCATCCCTGTCCCTGGCAGCTCCCTTCTTCCTCCCTTCCTCATTCACCAAAGTCGCCCGGCAGGCCACTGCTGATGCCCAGAGAGGCCTTGAACATAAAGAAGCCGCTGGGGCTTCTCGGGGGGAACCATGAAGGGGGACCTTTGGCCTGTGGGGGTGTGGATCAGGATGGGCTGCCTGGAGGAAGGGGCCTCAGAGCTATTATTAGATTGGCATTGCTGGTAAAGGCAGAAGGCAGTGTACTAGGCCCAGGATCTGCCCCACACCGTGACACCTGTTGGTGGCTGCCTTGGTTTCCCCTTCTATCCCTGTCCACCCTCCCCCACCTCCAATACCCGGAATCCTGACCAGCGGGCTGGAACCTGCTGCCCAGAGTAACCAGGCAAACAGAACTCCGCACGACCTCTGAGCTGTTCTCTGGGTGGGCTGCCTGTGCTCCCACCTGCCACCCTCTGGGCCTGCCCAGGCTGGGCCCCCCCCCCCCCATGCAGCACCCGAAGCCCTTCTACACTCCTGCAGCCCCCCAAGAAGGTTTCAGCCCTCGGGGCCTGGATGGCACCGAGGGGCCAGGCAGCCAGCCCACTCCTGCCTGCACAGAGCCTCTCCCCACTGTGGGTACGTGTCAGGGAGCAGTGGGGGTGGGTGGGGGTGGGGCTCTGCCCACCAGCCTCAGGACCCACTACCAGCCTGCCTTTGTTCACAGGTCCCGCCAACTTGTATCACCCCCCAAACCTGGAGAAAGAGGTGTTTCCAGGCCCCCCAGCAGGTACTGGCCTCCTCCCAACCCTGACTGCACCCGGGAGTGGGTTGGGGAGGCAGGGCCATCTTGCCTCCACCGTGGCCTCCGAGGCTCCTCGAAGCAGGACTCACGCCCTTGTTTCCCAAAAGGGCTCCCAGACCAAGGTCTGTGCCCGTCTGACAGGCCTATTGCTCTTGGCCCTGACGGTCCCTCAAGCCCAGGCCATGCCCACAGGCCCCGGGTTTAGGGCCCCCATCTCACTCCCCCTCCCCTGCAGGGGGGTTGTAGCCCTGCCCTCTCAGGGCCACCCTCCTGGGCCCGCAGGTTTCCAGATGGCGCCCTGCGGCTGCTTCTTTGACCCCCGCATTTACCGAATCGAGTGGGCCACCACCGACTTTGGCCAGGCGTCCCTGTACAAGCTGGCAGCAGCGGGTGGTGGGGTGCCAGCGGGAGGCCCCAATTCACCCAGCACCTACCTCCTAGAGTCCCAGCACTACCTCAAGGCCCCTGTGCCGCCTCCACCGTACCCCCATTTCCAGCCAGTGCCCGGGGGCCCCCAGTACCTCCTGCCCTACTTCCCCCCTGAGGGGCCCGGGCCTGAGGCCCTGGGCTTTATGGGGGATGGGGGAGCCCCCGCCTTCGTGGAGCTGCCCCCGCCCCTGCTCAAGGAAGGCCTGGTGCCCCTGCCACCGCCGCTGCCCTCCCAGGAGAACCAGCTGCCGCCTGTCGTCATCGCGCTGCCCGCTGAGGCCGCGCGGCCCCCCGGGGGTTATGGCCGCCTCAAGGGCCGCCTGAGCCAGCTCCACATGCCCGGGGAGCCCCCAGCCTTCCCTGCGAAGGAGCTGCAGGGCAGTGGCCCTGGGCCGGGCCCGCTGTACCCCCCAGGCCCTGGGGGGCCCAAGGCAGCCCCGTTGGAGGCGGGAGAGACCAGGTCCCCCGAGGCCGCCAGGGCCTTCGTGCTGCCTGAGAAGGTGCTGCTGGAAGACGCCATGAAGCTCTTCGACTGCCTGCCGGGGGGTGCCGAGCCCGAGGGGTCCCCGCGCAAGGCCCCGGGGCCAGCCCTGCCCGACAGCGGGGGTGGTGGGGATGACTCCTCCAGCGACATCCGCTCGCTGCACCTGCCGGATGAGCTGCTGTCCTTCGACTACAGCGTGCCCGAGATCCTGGACACTGTGTCCAACGTGGACTACTTTTTCAACTTCAAGGCGCTCGACGAGGAGCCACCCCCCTGCCCAGGGCCCCCCGCCATCACCATTGCGGCCCCTGTGCTTCGGGCCGAGCCCCCCAGCAAGAGAAAGTCTGGTGCCTCAGCCACCAAAAAGGGGAGACAAGGAGGCAAGAGTAAGCAGGCCACGGGCCTGGCCAGCGCCCCATCCCCCGGGACCCAGGCAGGACCTGGGAGCCACCCCCCATTAAAGCGAATTTGATCTCAGCCCAATGTCTGCTCAGTGGCGATGGGGGCAGTAGGCCAGGGGCGGACGTGGGGCGCTTGCCTCTCACCTGCTCTAGTGCCCAATGGCCCCAAACCAGGAAGGGAGGCCCTGCAGGACCCCGCACCTCCTGGTGCCGGACTTCCAGACTGAGCGAGGAGCCCTGGGCTCGGGATTCTGAACCCCTTCTGTCCGGGCCCCGGAGAGGGAAGGGGGCTTTGCCACCAGACGCCTGGCTGTGAGGATTCCTCACTCCGAGTTTGGCGAGGAAAGTCAAGGCTGCCCAGAGACGGGCAGGAACCTGCCTGGAGGGAGACGGCAAGCAGGGTGGGCCCCAGCCCTGCCCTCTGCTGGCCCCTTGTGCTATAGTCAGTGGAGGGGACGTTTGAGGGGGTTTCAGCTGGGCTCCGCCTCGGCCCACCTCCCAAGGTGTGGGTGAGAGGCATGGGGAGGGGCCGTGGTGCCTGTGAGGGACCCCGTGCTGGTCCAGGCAGACGTGGAGGCAAGTGCTGGGTGGAAATGAAGGCACCTGGTGGCCTGAGGGTGGCGGCTGGGCAGGCAGGTGGGAGGTGGAACCCCAAAACAAGCCACCTGTGATGGGGACCAGCAGAGTGCACCCGGGTGACAGAGACCAGGGTGGGCAAGTCTGTCCCAGGAAGGGCATCCAGCCAGGCCTCGTATGCTGCGTGCCCCCTTGGGTCCCACTCAGAGGTCCTCTATCCCAAGCAGCAGGCACAGGAGAGCCCAGAGTTCGGGTGTCCGTATCTCACCCCTGCTCCTTCCCACCCTGTCTCCTCCTCGGGCCCATGGAGCTCCTCTTCCCCTTGCCTGCTCCAGGCTCTCCTCAGCCTTTCCTGGGGCAGCTGCAGCCACAGCCTCTGAAACCCTCAAGGTGAGCCTGAAGGGGCCAACTTGGTTTCCCAGGTAACATACAAGGCAAGCATGTCAAACGCAAAGGCTAACACGGGCCAATAAACAAGGTGTAAGTTTATGTGGGCCACGAAAAAACAAAAGCTTCAACTTTCACAGAAACGTAGGTTTATTTCGATAGAGACATGCTGAATACAAAGGGCTGAAATAAATGAGTCATCGTTAACATAAAACAGAACATTTTAATAAAAATTAATATTTTTCTTGAATATTAACTTACCAGACACTGAATAACTGCACAAATTAATAAGCGTAACACAAGCCTATTTTTCTTATTTCCGAAGTGAAATATTTCCTCTTGCGCACACCAAACAAGTCAGTCCAAGACTAATGATGTGGCAATCGGCCACCAAAATATTCGCTGCTGGTATTAGTGGAGAGAAACGGTGCACCCGCTCGTAAGGCGTGTAAGGGAAATGAAGGCAACACGATTATAGTGATCAGTCAGCAAACGTTGTAGTCATCATTAATAATTATGTATAACAGGATATTGTAAAAATTAAGTTAATGAAATTTTTATTAAAACGTTTCTAATATACCTTATATTGGTTGGGCCACAAAAATATTCATTGTGGGCCACGAGTTTGAGATGCTTGATATAAGGGATCAGGAAGCAAAGGGAGATGGAGGCCTGCTCCCCTCCCCCTGCAGAGAGGCCCTGGGCTGGGTGGTGGAGGTCAGGGGCTTGACTAGAATGAGGAAGTGGCCAGGTACAGGGAGGGCAGACGGGGAGCTGAAGCCTGGTGCCTCTCCGTGCCCAGCACCACACCACAAGTCCGAGGTGCTTACATGGCTCATCTCCCTGAACCCTTATTCCAAAGCTCAGCGAAGTGGAGACAGTTATGCCCTGGCTGGTTTGGCTCAGTGGATAGTGTCAGCCTGTGGACTGAAGGGTCCCAGGTTTGATTCCAGTCAAGGGCACAGGCCTGGGTCGCGGGCTCCGTCCCCAGTGGGGGGGCGTGCAGGAGGCAGCGGGTCAATGGTTCTCACTCATCATTGATATCTTTCTCCCTCTCCCTCTCCCTTTCTCTCTGAAATCAATAAAAATATATTTTAAAAAGAAAGAAGTGGAGACAGCTATACCATTTGGGCACTGTTCCCTCCATTCCTGGACTTTCACAGGCACTGGCATCATTTACGTTTGTCCCCACTGTGCCTGTCCCATCTCTGTTCTGAACCGAAGAGAGGTCGGAGCGCACGTCCTGGGCTTCCTGCCGAGCCCTGAAGTAGCATGTGGAGTATTTTGGGATGAAAATCAAGTGTCCCCAATGAAGGGAAGGCCCTGGCAAAGGAGGTAGTGGATGATGAGCTTGTAAGAGGATGCATTTGTTTTTCTGAAGATGAATGCAGACCAGGGACAGGAAGCCAGTGTCACCTGACAACCGAACACGTCCCCTCCAGAGAGGCTGCAGGGGTAGGTGGTGGGGGGGGGGGGGCCATCCTGCCCAGCCCGGAGGGCAGAGTAAGTGGTTATTCACTATAGTTGGCAGTTGGGGTGTTGATGACTGGACTGAGGCTGCACTGGGCCGTTGGAGATGACCACAGATATATTTTTTAACCTAAGAGTAAACAGGAAAAGTCGTGGGACCACCCAAGTTTCCATTGACAATGAGATGGCTGCCTTATGCCACCTGGGTTTATGATGAAGTGGTGACCTCCCACTGATGGATGGATGGATGGAAAGAGTATACATGTACATGGGATGTGTAAAGGGTGGGGCAAAATTAGGTTTACAGCTGTGAATTTGCAAAACAGTGTATTGTATTTTTATTATACTAGGGGCCCAGTGCACCTTGAAAGGAACTGTGGGGTGCAAGGCTGCAGTGGGCACAGGGGCGGGTCTCGGCCCATCCTCCATGCCCCTGCCCAGCCCCTCCTGCTGCGGCTGCCAGTCCCCTGTCTCCTGGCAGCCCTGCCACCGCCACTGCTCCCACACAGAGCGATTGGGGCCAGCGCCGGCAGCAGGTGTGAGCGGGGCTGTCGCTGGCAGCGGGTGCGAGAGGTGGCTGCTGCCTGGGGTCGCCCCTCAGGGGCAGGGGGAGGTGGAGAAGCCCTCAGGGACAATTGGGGCCGGTGCCGGCCGCGGGTGCGAGTGGCTGGTGGGACTGTGGCATGCGGGAGCAAAGAATTTTCAGTAACCACCAGAAGCTCACCCTGATGACAGCGACTGATGCCCCACCTTGGTCTGGCGCCCCCGCTCACCTGCTCCACCATCCCACCATGGCCAACGCCCACCATGTTCCACGCTCTGCTGCCTGCTGCTGACGCCCACCATGTTCTGTGCACGCCTGGTGGTCGGTGTATGGCATGTGACCGGTTGTTCAGTTGTTCCACCATTCAGTTAGGGTTTTATATGGAGAGAGATTATTTTCCATACAACTATAAACCTACTTTTGCCCCACCCTCTTTATGTACACAGCATCTACACACATGCATATATGTATACATACGCATACATGTTGCATGCACACATACACGTTTCGCACGCCGTATACGTGTACACATATGTATACATGTATACAGTACACACCTGCACATACAAATGTGTGTACTGTATGCATGCATGCACATACATATGTATATGTATTGTCTATATGTATGCACATGTATATGTGCACACATGCAACCCATACACCTGCATATATGTATACATATGCATGAATATATGCACGCATGTATGTAGAATATTATCTATACACACATGTATTGGGATGTGTATACATGTGTGCACATGCATGTATTTACATTACTTATAGGTATATACCCATGCTTATGTATATATACAGCCATAATAAAGTATGTATGTGCAAACATGTATGCTTACCTCTACACACATATATACTTGTGTGTGCATACTATATATACATAAGAGTATACACATTACATAGGCATGCACATGCATATGTATACATACTATATGCACGAGTACCTATTATGTCTACCTATGTAGGCATGTACACACATATCCCTATATACCATACACATACACATGTATATGTATGGACATGTATGTATGCATATGTGCGCATCACCTACATGCATATATATAAATAACATATATAAAATATGTGCTTTTAAAATTGTATTCGTGTTTATATAAAACATGCCTTTATATGTTTGTTTGTACATGTGTTAGGGTTAGAAACAAAGATGGAATTTCACCCATCAGTCTTCCATGGACTCCACTGCTCTTCCTGGGTCTTAACCTTCTCTAACGGCACATGTCACTGTCTCACCCCCTGCTCTGCTGAGGCCGCCTGTCACTCCACGTGCGCCTGCGGGCCTGCGCCACCCGCTCTTCTTGCCCAGCGCTTGGGCCGTCCCTCCTGACTGCTACAGCCGATGGAGGTGCTGCCACTGAGAGGGAGCCCGGCACCCGCATATTGAGGAAGGCAGAAGAGCAGTGCGAGTAGGTGTCGGGAAACCACCACCCATGACTGATGCTCAGGCCACCTGCTTGTTTTGCATGCAATTTATTATGACAACTCTGAGCCTCCAGTGCACCTCAGCGCCTAAACTGGAAACACGCACAAGACTTTCTGCACCTGTCGCACAGACCGTCCCAGGACCTTTTGAACCTGTGGCCCTGCTCCGTGGGCAGCCATTTGGGGATCACGTAGGCCAGCCACACAGACAGCAGGATGGTTGTCATGATCAGGACAATGGTGATCTCAGACCTGAGGATGCTCAGCGGGAAGGCCCCGTACACGTAGATGCTGAAGGTGGTCGTCAGGTGACAGTAGCTGCAAGGGGTGGGTGGGGAAAGACCATGGGGCATTGCCTTTACCCAGAAAACATTAACACCAAGATGAGGGCCCTGGACCGCTACCAGGACAGCAGGTCCCATATATATCCACTCAACTCTATCCATCCTGAGTCTGCCTTCCTCTTGTGTATTTTGGCAGCAGTCATATCCGCCCGCGCCCCCCCCCCCTCCGCCCCAGGACCCCTGGAGTCCCCTGCTCTATACCCAGGTTCCATCACAGCGCGCAAGTGGAGAGGGGCAGGACAACAGCCACAGACATCCATGAGGCTGGCGGCCAGCAGGATGGGCAGGAAGGGCGCCCCAGGAGGGGGGCCAGGGGATGGGAGAACTCGCTGAGGCCGCTACTGGACGCAGGTGAAGGAGGAGGAGGTGACACATCTCACAGGTAGCCCCCTCTCCTCTGGATGTCCCCACCCCTGTGCCTTTTGCCCAGTGCCACCTCAGAGCTAGTCCCTCTGGTCCAGGATGTGGGGCCTCTAGGGAAGGCAGGGTCTCCACATGCTTTGGGAGGTGGAGTTTGTACCTGTCTTAAAGGGATAGATGATGGAGGGAGAGAATGGGCCCCCATGATTGCCTTCTCAGTGGGAGACACTGCTGATCCAGATAAGCACACCAGATATGACTTAGGAGGTTCTCAGTCCTCTGGGTGGTAAGTATTCAACAGCCAGCTCTGGGGTGGGAGAGTTCTGGTTGATACTGTGCACTGATTCCCCTGGTGTAAATACTCCCACCGTGGCCAATTTCAAGTCAACTGGCTTGCAGAATCCTGAACATTTCTGAGTTGGCTCCTTCACATCACCAGACATGGCATGAGAGGGTACCTGTGGCCCCCGCTGGGAGAACGGGTCTCCCACACGTGTGATGTGCCCAGCCGTTCCCAGAGGCCCCGGGCGCAGGGTGGTTCCCCCCACCCTGCCCTACTCACCTATAGTACGGATCCACGATATAAATGATAAAGATATAGATTCCATTCCTTTGGTCGAAAATGATCTTGTTTTCTGTTGGGCCTCCCAAGATCTGATATGGGACGTTAGGCCATTGCAAGGGACTGTCATTGTTGGGGTTGTGGCAGCTCATATAGTTCTGGGGAGGAGAACAGGGGTATGGGAGCTGGGGAAAGCCATGCTAGCACCACAGTCAGCCCCACTTGCTCACCAGCCACCCAGGTTCAGGCCAGGGCCCCGTGCTCCCTGGGTGGGCCCCGTGCTCCCGGTCCCTGTGGAGGTGGCTGTGGACGCGTCACCCCTCCCTCTGCGTCACCCCTCCCTCTGCTTTCCTGGCGTCTGTGCAACATGGTGAATGTACAAGACAAATGAGTGTGTGCTCTAAAACCTGTGTTCTGTGAAT